GTTGGATTGTGTCATTAAAGCTGATTGCTGCTAGCAAGAGAAACTGTAGAGATGCAGGGACAAGGAGCAGCTGGAATGGAGGGAATGGAGCAGAGAAGCAGAAGAGGTTGGCATTGCAAGAGGCCTAAACAAGTCTTAATATAAAACAGAGACATACCAAGGAAACTGCACTGTGAGGGCTGAGGTAACACAAAGCAGTGGTGACCAAGATCAGATCAGTCACTGAGTCATCCAGGTCCCTCAGAAGAATTAACAAAAACTCGTCTGGCACAAGGGCTTACCTGTTACACGTGTTACGTGGATAGTCCCTCTCTTTAGCTCACACACTGACCTCATGTTTCAACTAATGCACATGTGTGTGACACAATGTATATTCCATCTATACATCTGTATGCGCTTATATGTAGATTTAGACTGATTGCATTCATATGTATTTATTGTACATCATGAGGGCAAGTCCACATTTAGCAAAGTGCTACCATTGTCTCATATACAGATACATCTCTCTGTACAGGTATACACAAAAATGGGTCTATTCTTCCCCATAAAGACATAAAGATTTATGCTCCTAATTCGCATTACCACCAAAAAAACAGAAGGAAAGGCCTCTGACAACTTCCACCTCCCTGCCCTTTTGCCTGTAAGCATATGTGCCAGAAACAAATTGTGGAGAGAAGGAAAGGGGGAGGGATGCCTGGGGGGTATCAACATAATGATAGGGAGGGGTATATAAAAAAATTGAAAAAATTTCTAAATTTCTGTGCAATATTGGAAGCTCTGTTTTTCTAAACAGGTTTTAAAAGTCACCAGGATCATCATAATTAGAAGTGATATTGTATGAATAAATAACAATTAAGTTCCTTTCTCCAGCCTAAATAGAACAGTATGAAGAGTAAGCCAATCTGTAGGAATGTTTCTGATTTCTCACAATTTCAAGTGAGAACTCCCATAAGGAAATCTTCCTTCTCCAATTAGGAAAAAACAGGTAAGTGGCCACAATCAAATTCAGAATTTCACAGAACAAGTGAAACTCCCTGGATTTAATGCATATTTTGTTCTGTAATCCCACAACAGCAAAAAGAAGATCTTCATGAAAGAAAAATAATTTTGAAGACAAGACCCTTTTATGGAATGGAGACCACTCCACAAACAACTTACAACCTAATTGGAAAACACAAGTACGCTGATGGACAATATTTTCCGAGTCAGACCATAGGAGATTCAGGTATTAATTTGCAAAGATACAGCAATTTTCACACCTCCCCATCCCACCCATTGCAAACCTTCCCATTCAGTTTCTCCTGAAAAACTCATTTCTCCCATCACTTCTCCTCCCCACTTTGTTTTATTTAAAGGCTGTCTTTGGGAGCTTGGTATTTTCATGGCATTTTAAACAGGGCTCAATGCAACTCATTTGAAAAACAGAAAAATTGACATGATATCAGAGTTAGCCTTATAACAGCAGATTATATAGTAGAGAGTTTCAGTTATTTATACAACAGTAAGGACATAACAACCCCCTACTAAATAATCACATTTCTACAATACATTCCATCACCTCTCAACTACTTTTCTCTTTACAAAACTATGACCTACATACAATATACACATTCGTATCGCACATACATCCCCCCCCAATGCATATTTTTTTGTGTGTATATATAATACATACATGCACACAAGCAGTCTAATTCTATTTATAAGTCACAGTGGGAATTCCTTTGTGAGGAAAGGAGGGGAAAAATTCCTGAATAAGACACTGTAGATTCCTAATGTTCCAACTTTTTAAATTCCAACTCACAGAGCTAACTGGAAATAAATACATTAAAAAAAAAGAAAAGGTCTTACAAACTTGGTTCACAACTTCCAGCTACAGTAGTTGGATTTTTAAAATTTGATCTATTTACCCTGTAACTAAATTTCTAATCATAGGTACAAACCACGGATAAATTATTGCAGAATGTAACACTCAAATTTTAAAAAGAGTTATAGGAACAGTAATATAAGGGTTAAAAAGAGTTCTATACTTGTTGATACAGGATACCATTTTATTTTATTTATATATATATCTATATATAGATATAGATATCTGCAAGGTAGCAAAGAATAGCTGTACACCTTGACACGGCAAAGATCCAGTGTAAAAAGGTGCTTCACTAGTTTGTTTTTCCAAAAAAGCTTGTATATAATTTTATAGCTATTAAAAACACATATGCAACATAATTCATTACACTCAATACAGCTTTAGTATAAAACTTATAATTTATGAGGTGATGTTAATAGCATAAATTAATATACCATTTCTCTTAAAATCTACAATAAGTATTCTGAAAGCTCATTGGGGAAGGGTATCTTTAAATAAAAAGTTTAAAGCTGAGCGTGATGAAAAAGATTCTGTATGTTGAACTTGAGATGAGAGCCCCGAGAAGAGAAAGAGTCCTTAAGCCAGACATCGTTGACTATAAAACTGAACAAAGATTTCTCCTTCTTGCGCTCTCACTTAGGTGACGCTCTACCTTAAATTATTATTTACTTCTTAAAACTATTTATTTTTTTTTCTTTTTTTCTTTTTTTTTGTGTGTGTGTGTGTGTGGTTTTTTTTGTTTGTTTTTTTTTTTTTTTTGTTAACTGCCCTTATTTCCACAAGGAATCCCTGAGACATACCCAAAACTGTACAGTGAAGGTCATCACTGTTCAGAGAAACTGGTTCAACCCCTTCTGGTAGGATGTAGCTATTTTGCATGAGAATCAAAATGTCCATCACGTCAGAATTAATCTATTTGCACCAGAACCAACTACACTGTTTAAGACGCAGGTTAGAGAGTCATTTCAGGGTAAATCAGTCCACTCCAAGGTAGAAGCCAACGCCATCGCAGTTAGCTACATCAGAGCAATCTGCACCAAAGTTAAAGTTTTCCAGAAGGTATCTGGGAACGTTACCTATCCAGAGTTCATCTCCGTGGGCACCAGCTGACAACGACAGAAAGCAGGTTAAACATTAGCATTACTGGACCAAGTTCAACATGCCTATGCGGTCGACACGCGGGCACTCTGGACATCTCACTGTGTGTGTGTTTGGGGACTAGCAAGGGGAAGGGTATGAAGAATGCATTTTTCTACAGCAAGTAAGTACAGTTTTATGGTCAAAAGCCCAAGTTTCATCCTATTCACTTCCAAACCAAATTCTGTGACCTAGAGTAGACTGAAAAGGTGCCAACGCTTGTTTCAAGGAGACATATAAAGAAAGCCTTCTCCAACTATTTCTGTCAACATACAGCTGCACCTTCTTTCTCCTTTCATGCTTCCACTGCATTTAACTTATTCCACAGTAGCTGGAGAAGGAATATGTGAATGCAGAGTAAAACAGGGGAAAGCAAAGAACTCAACAACGAGAAGCACCAGAAGAGCAAAGGGAAAAGCTCCCCAAATAGTCACTACTGTGTTGTTTTTTAAAAAAAAGAGGCTGAAGACATGAGAGAGAAAATAGTTTTAAGATGCATCTTTTCTAACTTCTTCTCCTCCACCAAACTTTTCTTCCCAACAACAGTGTTTTTGTCTATTTTTAAAGACAAGACCAAAACTTTTCCTGATAAGAGCTAAGGTCTCTCATGACCAGATCTCTCCTAAAGTCCAACTTTAAGTTTAATAAACACAAATGTAGATTTTTTTCACCAACTCTCCTTACTTTTATTTGGGCTTGTGCGTATTAAGAAAGAATAATTTCAGTTTTTCTTTGTGACTTTCTACTGACACACTTCTCAAAAGAATAGGAACTTCTGAGAAGGTAAACTCTTGCTAAAAATACCTGTATATTTACTGCTAGAGTGTGCACTCCCGTGATCAATGTTGTATCCTCAGCATCTAGTTCATGACATATTAGCATGCTGTGAAACATCTCCTTACTCACTGATCTGAGAAATACTTTGATCTATTGCACTGTCATTCTAGCATCCAAAATGTATGTTATGAATTGCAGTGATCTCTCCTCCTTTTCATTTTACAGTCAGATTCACTTAGAGCTACGGAAGACTTACCAGTTGGCATTACTTACACTGGAGAAGTGTCTGAGAACGGGAAAATAGAACCAAGAATGATGAAGAATGTAGAGTGAAAGGAAATAAAGTAGGTACAAGAAGTAGCCCACAAATTCCCATTATTTAATATTACCAAAAGATCAGAAAGAACTTGTGTTCAGAAGATGAGAAAGACCTAAAGATCTGACCAGCACATTAGCCCAAAACTATTCCTTCAGTTCCTGTTTCTACCACCACTGGATCTTGCACAGGAAACTCCTTCACACGTGAAAACCACAAAAGCAAAAATACACCAGTTCCACCAGGTAAGCTGCCCAGACAGCCGCACAAACATCTCACTGCAGAAAATCACTGCAGGTAAGTTTTCGGTTGTTTGTCTGCTGAAAGCACCTCCTGCCACTGTCTCTGCGTCCCTCAAGTCTTGAAAGGTGCAATTTACAGGTAGCTGGATCTTCTAAAAATGCATCCCTCCTCTCTGCCCAAAGGCTCATCCTGTTGGAGAATTCACGAGTGGATTTAGCTCAGCGCAGCACAAAGAGAAGGAGAAATACCCTTGGAGGCCTGCCAATGGCTACAGGGAAATGCAGCAGCAAGGAGGCTGCAGGAGCTCAGGGAGCTGGTGTTCAGAAGCAGTGTGGGTAGCCATCACGGCCAGCTTCTCAGGGAAGACACCTATTCAGTGTTTATTGTACACTTTTGTAGGACTCTACTGGCAAGCAGATTCAATCCCAGACAGTATTTAGATGTGGTTGCAGCAAAACAAAGCTTCAAACTGAATTTGGCTACTGGTTTGCAGGTTCAATCCTAGGCCTTTTGTCTTGACACCTAAAGCCAGTGGCATCACACCGTCCCTAACTGCCTACAACAGAATTTCCCAGTTTTCAATAGTCATCTTCCTCTGAGAAAAGATAATTAAAAATTTAAAAGCCAATTCCCTTAGCTTTTCTTTGCTACTCTCCTTTGACAATTTTTTTTGATTTTTGCCTAGCAGGTGCTAAGCTTCTCATGGCTTTCCAATGCTTTCCAAATGAGAACTGCAAATCCCCATTTTCCGTGGGAAATCTAGCTCTTGCCATCTTTTCCACAGTGCCTGAGGCAGACCTGCAACTGTGCTACCTCCCAGCTTTATCAATTTAAAGCCTTTGTGCTCAACCATAGAGAGAAGCATGCTACTGTAATGAGAATGGATCTAAGCAAGAACCTGGAGGAACTGGAAGGCGGGAGGAAAAAATTATGCATCTTTTCCATCTTCTTGCATCACACATACATCTTTTTGTACCATAATAATTACAAGGGCAAAGAACAAATCAGCTTTGAGCTATCTAAGCACATAGGGCTCCCCTCAAAGTTGGTGTAAAGTCTTTCCAGGTGAAAGGAAACATCAAAGCCTATGGGTAAAGAATGCCTCAGACACCAGGCCAGCATGAAGCTGTTCCTGATAAGCCTCCATACACTGTAAAAATTCATCTTAAGTACTTTTGTACAAAGACTAATTGAGGTGCTATTACTGCCAAAAGTGATGTTACATATTCTATTCTATGTCTAATTTTTTTTCAGTTCTTTAAAACTCAAATCTTATGTAAAGAAATTAACCTTTAGGTTCAACTAGACTTGTTCCATTTGTTAATATGTAAAGGGTACAACAGGTATTAAGTGTTTCAAATTAATGAACTGAAATTGCTACACTGGCTCTTTGGTGAAAGGGTGATGAGAGTGCTAATTGCTGTAAGAGCTGATACTCAAAACCTTTGTGAGGGACCATGGATTCTACTTGGGAACCACATAAGTAACAGCCTTGAGGACTGCCTTAACCAGACGTGCAGTATTTCCCAGAGGAAGAGGTATGAAACATCTCTGACTGCACCTACCCCTCAATTGGATCTCTTGCATCCAATAGTAAGACACTGATGCACTGAAGTCAACAGGCTGTGTGGGTGTAGAAGCCCACCTGGAATGATCCACCTTGTAAAGCTAAGATCAGGACCCGTAACTGCTTGTTAGGCTGTAACCATGACATTGGTGGCAGTGAAAAAATGGGAGGTGAACCACGAAAAGGCAAGTGTGGTGGCCCATTTCAGAACACTGTGTCAAACAGGACAGAGGGATTCCTATTTCAAATGTATACAAACTGAAGTTTATTTTTAAAAGTGCAGATTTATTGCAAACTTAGTTTGCTCATTGAAAAATATTATGCAGTCACTTTTCTGGGAAGAGTCATCAAGGGATATATAGAAATGGAAATCTAAGTGGGGGAAGAGAGTTGATATCCTAGGCTACTTTAGAGAAATGCAGGTACAAAAAGCCATTGATTTCAAATGGGAATTACAGACCTGCATACCTCTGACAGCTTTTGAAATTCCCTTCTAGATCAACACAGAGATCAGGAGCTGGGTTCTGTTCTGAGTTAGATCAGTACAAACTCAAAATGACCCTAGATGAAAAAGCTCCTTTGTCATTTATACCAAGGAGACCAAGGAGAACTTTGCTCTCAGTTCCTCTCCTCTCCTTCCCCCCAGCATTTGCTAAGAAAGGGAAATGTGATGTGGGGCAAATATACTCTGCCCTAGTTTGACGGGCACAAGAACCATTTCAAGACCAAAGTCCTGAAACCAGTGTACAGAAATTAACACCCTCGAATGCACAAGAAGATTAAAGAATAAACTATTTGGTATACTAGTTCTCCACTCCTTTTCAGTCATCTGAACACACTGAAGAAGGTATATGGACACAACAAAAACCATTTGCAAATCAAACAGTTGTCTCCTCAACAAAGTATGGGTAACATAATACAAAAATAAATAAAAGCCTTGTTAGATTTGCCTCATTCACAATTCCTCAATCAGCAGGACAATCACAAGCAGGATTTCATAGGCTTCAATTAAACTTTTTATGTGATTTAAAAACATTTAAATGTTACAAACATATTTAAATCACCACTTAAAAATATTCGGCTTATATTATTAAGATCTATTTCACCTAAGTATGAAATAATGACTTTGTAACAACAGAAGCATGAAAATAATTTTTGTTTCCTCCACCCACATACACTTGCAATTTCAGATAAGGACATATGCATCATCCATGCTCTTTTATATTTAAAAAGGACAGATCTTTCATGAAAAGAGGGATAGTATGATTGCTACAATAGTAAGACACAAGACCTATCGCATTTAAATTCTGTTCCTTAGGAAGATGGAAGGAGAGGTTTGAGTCACAGATTTTGGTGTGTGCCTGACTGCAAAATGAATTTCTATAGCAACTAAACTTTGTTCAACGATCCTTTGCTCCAAAAACTTATTAGGTGTCCCTATTACATGTGCTTGGTTATCTATTAATTTCCTGAAATAGACTACAATACATGTAGGTAGGACTTCTTCCTGTAAGGTAGAATGAAATCCATCTTCTATAGTAAAAGACTGAAATGAAGAATATTGTATTTTCTCTCCTCTGCATCTCTCAGAAACAAATCAAGAAGAGTAGAGACTTGTTATATTAAATAAGAGCTACTTTTAAAGTCAGAGTACAGTAGCAAATTTGAGTCCTATAGAGTTACAAGCAAAGTCTTTTGTTTCCTTCTTGCTAAGAAGATGCAAGTAAACACCTCAGAATTTCTGCTGCTGCTATCTCTTGGTTTCAAAAAGGTAAAATTAAAAAACAAAAATAATTTAAAAAAATCTAAAACTTAGCTGACTCCTTTCTTTAGGAACTGAAATTACTACCAAAGAATCTGAATACTATCTTTAGCAGGTGATCAGTACAAACAAAACCATCCTGCAGACAGAAGGAATTCTTACCTATTTTGCTTTAGTGATTTCTCTTTTGGTTAGCCATGACTGCTGATAGATACCTGCTAGTTCCTTACATACATTCAGCTTCTCAAACAGAGGATCAAACCCTACACATGGCAAAAAACCTATATGGCTCTCAGGGGATTAGAAACTATCCAAGAAAGTCTCCCTAGCTTGACATATTTTGAGAAATGCATCCATTTGAAACTTGCAAAGGGTCTGACCTAGACTTGTGTGTATGGGCAGAATACCAACCAAATTCTTCCAGTTTCAGCTGGGAAATACCTGTTAGCCTGTCAGGCAAAGAATTCTGGACAAAGACACACTTGAAAAGGCAAACCATCAATGCTACAAGGCCACAGTAATTCAGCAAGGAAGGGAACTTCTGCACAGGAATCTTCACGAATCCATCGTCTATATCGATCCTGTTTCATTTTTTTTCCCTGGGCTAACTTCGTATCAGCCTTCAAACTGATGGGCAACCAGTCAACTGATCCCTTTGCTACTCAATGAATTACAAATCATGATAATAAAAAAACCCCAAAATCAGCATGCACTAAGAACAGTGACCAGTTCTGGAAGGGGACAACTCCCACTTCTTCACCAAAAGAAGAAAAGGAATTCTGCTCCCTGTGCCCCAAACATACACACGCACACAGAGGAGGTCAAGAGACTATTTTAAAAAACTGCCAAACTCATCCTTGAACCACGATCTTGATTTAGGACTTCAGCACACCATTCTCAAATCAATGTGTGCGGCCAAGTTTTCCATGCCAGATGCTACCTTTGGAAAAAAAGTAAATTAAAAATAAAATAAATAAATCGAGAGACTTCTGCCCACTGGAAAACTTTCTACCAGATGCTAATGGGATGGCAAGCACTGATCCGAACCCTAGGGAACAGTAACATGCATCAATGATCTGAGGTATCTTCCCATTTCTAGGTCTTACTGCTAAGATCGATTACATCCAGTAACTGTGCTGTATCCTTAAGGAATTATTGGGGAATGGTGAACCTGCCTGCAATAAATGAGCACCAGTGCATAACAAGCACATGTGAACGCTACAGCAAGGTTCACAAAGGGCTAACCCTGGTCAGTACTGAAGCAGGGGTTTTCTTCTCAACCCCCTCCTAAAAAACAGGGAAGGAAGAGAGGACAGAAAAATTAAAGAAAAAGGAAAAAAGAAAATATAGAAAATACAGGTCCCCCATCTACCTGCATGGAGCCAGGCAGACAAGCTCAGTTGGAGGTGGTGAAGGGCGCGGATGCGTTATTGGTACTGGTAGCGGTGGCACCGGTCACTGCGAAGCCCGTGGGAGGAGCTATGGAGCTGTGGCTGGGCTGCAGGTCCTTGGGAATGCCACTGTGGGAGCTCAGCTGGTGCCCAAAGGCTGCGCTGAACTGAGGGAGCTGTTGTTTAGGGGAGGTGGAGCCCATGAGTTCAGCAGAGGCAGGACCCATGCCACTAAAACTGGTCTGCGGTAACCCCGGAAGCACACTGGAGCTGTTGGGGGTCACAGTGGCGAAGGCAGGCTGTGTGGTCTCTGAGTGCGAGGTGGTAGGTGGTGTGGACAGGGAGGTGGACAGGAGGTGTCCATCTGCACCAAGAAGGTTGCTAAACGGAGAGGGGTCCCCAAGATTGACAGGAAGATTTCCCCAGTGAGTTCTGGGGTTGACCACCCCACTAAGTGGCACATCCAGCTGAGTTGGGAGCAAGTGCTGTGCCATCATGGGCATCTCTGCTGAGAAGGTAGCTGCCAAGTTATCACCAGAGAAGGATGTGGTGTGAGGGGATGTGATATGGTCACTGTAGGGAGACGGCACATGCTCACTATCGTAATGGCTTCCATGGGGTGAGGAGTGTGAATGGTCACTGCTGTATTGCTGTCGTGAGGTGATCAGGTCATCTGCCTTGCTCAGCAGCTGGGCAGGGTGGGGCCTCTGGGAGGCATGGCTGCCATCATGAAGTCCATGAAACTGTCCCGGGAAGGCTCTCTCCCCAAGGCCACTCTGGCTTATCAGAGCGGCAGAAGTAAGGCCAACGTTGGCTGGGGCTGAGAACTGCCCCTGGATCTGCCCTGCCAGGGGCGTAGGTGGGTTGGACAAGGTAGCAGAACGGAGCAAGTTCTCATCCAGCTCCAGACCGGAGAAATTATCGTGTACTATACGCCCATTCAACAGCTCCCCCAGATCCGTGTTAACCTCTCGACTCAAGGACTGCATTCCTGGAGCTCCAGCACCTGTAGAGAACACCCCTATCGCTCTATCTGACAGCTCCTGAACTGGCACACCATCTGTCTGTGTAAGTACTCCAATGGTACTCAGGCACTCAAGAGAAGTTACAGCCTGTAGGGCCCGTTCCAGTTCTTCAGCCTCTTCTGTAGTTGGAAGGAGATCTCCATTTTTACCTGTACAAACAGGGACACGATTAGTTAGCACTCACCTCTCAGGTGAGCCTGGCACTGGCACTCTAAGAATGCAGATGTATAGACAGTTCAGTACAGAGCTGCAGTGTATGATAACCTTCCAGCATTGCTTGCAGTACACAGAAAATATTATTCATCAGTCTTCACTAGGTAAGCAAGGTAAGAAAACCAAGAAATTATACCTTCCTCTTCAATGGAACTCCCCCTCTCCACCCTCCTTTTCCACATACTACAATGGGAGATGCCTCTTAAACTTACTTAAGCATTTTTACTTTAAGTCTAGTAAGATTTTCTTCAATGCTGCAATAACAGAAATGGTCCACAAATCCCTCTCTACTCACCAATATTACAGCCTGAACCTAAAATTTACACAGATAGTACAATTTAGGTTAATTTTGACTCAAACACAGTCTGATGTCATGTTATATCAGAAAATGACCAAAGAAATCACATACCCAACTCCAGGCTGTTCTAGTTTCTTTGTTGTATGTGATAGGTTCTGAGCTTTAGAATACAGAAATTCAGGCACAGTTCTGATCAAAAGCTAGTTTCAGTATTTAAAAATTTTATTCTCACTCTCTTCTCTTTTTATCAAAGGCCAATACTGACTGTGATTCCAGCCCCACTCAATGGCAGAAAGATGCCATTACTGTGAATACTCTTGATTAAACTGTAACACTGACAGGCAGTAAAACTGTAAAATGAATTATTAAAATACTAAACCAATTAGGATTTTCAAAGTAGCAATTATATGAGCAAGCAGAGAACTATACACAGCCTTCTTAAAGTCTGCTTTACTTCAGAGCTCACGAACAACAGACCAAATGCGCACTTCCTTCTCTAGAACTTATAATAAGAAAGGAAGCAACTCCCCAAAATGCAGTTTAGAAACACTCACTTCTTCAGTTCACTGACTGTGTTCATGCTAGCATAAAATAAAACGGTACCTTCAAAGAAATCAAAATCTTGCAAGTCATCGGGCAGCCGCGGCAGGACATCAGAGAAGTCCTCCTGATTCAATTCCAAGTCATGTGGAATGTCTGTGATTTCGTTGGCGATATCATCAGGCAGCTCATCAGCACTCAGCTCTGGTGTGGAGGGGCTCCTGAACAGAAAGTAACATCAGTCCCTGGTGTTCAACTCTGGTTCCTCCAAAGGACAACTATGAATGCATATCCATCTAGGACAGATGTTTCCCCACATTTTTTTACCCCATCATCTTGGCAAAAATGCATTTAGGAAGTTTTTTTAGGAAGCTTAGCCTATCACTAAATACGTAAGATGTGACATCAGGGTCAGAAGATTTTACCCATCAGACCCAATCATTGCTCAAATCCAAAATGACCTAAAGTTTTTTTTCAACAGTCACTGTAGATGCAATTTCTAACCCTGCTCCAGATGCTGATCAGCACAGCAAAATCACACCTTTCTCCGGTGCTCATTAACAACACTCAAAGCCACAGTGGGAAACTGGGGCAGGGCTACCACTGACCGTATGTGGGGTATCTCTACTGGCAGTGAGACACTGGGAGGCATGGTGAGGTTCCCTTGGGGCACTGCAGGAGGAATGGGTTTCTGGGGCCGGCGTGGGCCTCGTCTTCTCTTCTTCTTGTGTTTTTTGGTAAGTGCAGGTGGCTTCGTTTTTTTCCTGGGTTTCCTCTGCTGCTGGTGCTGAACTTTACGGGAGCTGTCTCCTCTCAAGAAATTATCCTTTGGGAGCAAAACAACAGCAAGGAGAGCATATTTATAACAGTTATTACTGGCCTTGTTTTTTTCACCCTGGCCATTCCACAGACATTCACATGTAATGTAAGAGAGACTGCTAACTTACACCCAGGCACAGCTATAAAACTTGATCTGCTTCCTTCCCCACTGATCCCAATGGCAAAAATAACGCAGACCAAATTTTGAGGTATGCTAAACACGAGATTTATCATACATGTAGTATCACTTTAAAAATTATCACAGCAAAACCTAACTAAACTAGTGCAAAACTGTAAGCCTTAGCAGCGCTCTTCAAAGTATTAAAGAAAAGACCAAACACTATTATGAGATGGTGTTAATGCAAATAGTCTGCAGCAGCGAAGCCAGGATCTTCAACTGTCCACTGCCATAACAGAGGGACAGCACTGAGGAAATGGATTTAATACTCTTGGACTCGGGTAAGGATGTGGGTAAACAACTATGGCCTTGTTGCTTCTGAACAGAAATCGCTGACCAATTGAAAAATAAATCAAACCATCATCAGTCTTCAGCTGCCATCATATTGGGAATGGCAGAGGATTGTATTTGCTACAGAAGTAATCCCTGAGACACTGAAGATGGCCTGGAAGAAGGGGAAAATCCCATACAAATCTGTGTAGCACAAACTCTCACATTTTAATCAAAAAAACTCCATAATTCACAACTATTGGAGAGGTTGGACAAAAGCAATAACAAAATCCTCACAATAACCAAACAACATAAGAAAAAAACCCTGACAAACAAACAAACAAACAAAAAAAGGCAGTTTTACACCTAATTGAAGTGAGACAAGACACCTTGAAGGAGGGGTAAGACAGAAGCAGGTTTGTGAATTATCCTTAAGGTTTTTCTCTGGAAGATAGGAGGCATAAAAGGAGAGCACAGGGCATCAACTTAATTTCTGTATTCTCTCAACTTGAGATAACATGATATGAGCTCTTAAGTTCATAAACTTGCTAGTTGTCAAGGAAGAGCACATAGAAAGACTGGAGTTAAAATTCCTGATCATCCCAATACACAAATAAATACAGTTTTGCCTTTGTACTTACCATTTTTTTGGCATGTTCTTCACACAGAGGTGTCTGATGTGTAATGTCAAAAACTGGCACAGAGCACTGTTGACCATCTGCAAACTTGGCTGTGCAACTTGAGAAGAGCTGCTGAGAACGGTTCAATAAGATATCTGTGCATTTCTGCATCAGGAATAACACGAGACAATGATGGAGGAACGCCCTTTGATTTATCAATCTGATAAAGATCAGAGCCTTCAACTCTATCTGTCCATAGATGCTATTTTTTATGAGTACCTTAACTTTGCTATTCAAGTTCAAAGCTAGGTAAGCCTCAAACCCAACTTTTAAAGTGAAAAAGTTGCATTCATGCAGAATCCCTAATGATTTTATTATATACTGAGATAGTTTTATAAAAGCAGCCATTTCACTAATGAGTTCTTAGCAAAAAGAAGCCTTTTCCTGGAGTCTTAATCAATAGATCAATAGTAGCAGTTGGAACAGTGTAGTCAACAGGACTATTTCCTTACAGACTAATGACAATCCATACTGAAACATTAAAGAAAGAGTATTTCTTAATTCAATCTTTTAAGGTACATTCTTGGCATTTATCTTTAGAGCACAGAAAAAGAAGTTTCAAGATCCTTCCTGCTCCTCTGAAAAAAAGATGTGCAATCAGACAGAAAGGTCAAATAAATCCAAACGTAAGTTTGCTGAGATTTTCTTCAGAAAAACCCCTTGCAGGAGTGAAAATGTTTCTAGACTTACAGCAAAATCAAACAGATAGCTCACTGTGCTTTTTTTTTCAAACAACATTAGAAGCACTCCTTCCATCTTGAACAGTTCTCAGACTTCAACATCACTATATATGTTCTTAAAATGTTAAAACACAAACCCAAAAAAACCAAAAAAAAGGACAAAGAAAATGAAAAACTTGCAGAACAGTCCAGATAACAGACTTGGACAGATGGATCAGAACCAAGAGCGTGTTCATTTTAGGAGAAACTGTTTCCACTGAGAAGAAAATGCAGAGAGAAAAAAATGGCATAAATTCAAAATCACTACCCTTGACTTCTCTGCTTTACACACATCAGTAAGCAAGATGACTTAAACAAAAAAATCAAACCATTCGAATCATGAGGCAAATCCCAAAGACAACTGCACACCATGGTGCTCTCTCATACAGAGATTTTGAACTGCTCTGCTGACCACTTTTAAGGGGCCTGAAAAAAGTCAACCAAGATAAACAAGGCATCAGCAAAACAAAAAGATTGAAAAGGTGCTGCAGTCTGATGGTAATTGGAACAGATCAGCACTAGTCACTTAAAATACCAAAACCAAAAGCTTCAACAAAAGAAGTCACTCCAAAAAAAGCACCAATAATTCTTCAGATAAAGCAAAAAAGACAAAGTCTGAAGAATTTTTAAGTATTACAGGTCATAAGTCTGCCTGTTTATAGTCTTCAGAACCAAATCTCACTTATAATGTGCTTTCTTCTTTCTGTGATCTTTATCCATAGACTCTTAACATCCTTTTCAAGCTTTGCTTGAAATTCCAAGCACTGGGAATCCTTCCTCATCTAGACTATGAGGTTGGTTCTGTGACCCCTTCTGAGGTTCTGTGACCCCTTCTATTCTGCTGCTTTGAACAATGCAAAGATTGATTTCCATCTTTCCAGTCAGTGTAAGCCATCTTTTTATACTATGTATAAAACTCTGTTCCAATAACACCATCATAGGAAGACAGTCTATTGGAACCTACCAAGAACTGCATGAAAACCAAGAATCTGAAAGCCACGTGGTTTGTACCAAGTCATCGTGAAAGATGATCATTTTTGTACAAGTTTCTTGCATCTACCAAACACAGCTTACAGAGTAAAATGATGTTACTATAAAAGATATCAGTGGTAAACTACTTAACTTCACTGTCAACAGACCCAAATCACCCAGACCAAGTTAAAAGCAAAGTAGTTAGTGACACGCTAACAAATAGGTATTTCTTTGTGAAAACTTATCTGTCAATGCAAAAGTCTAACAAACAAACAAACAAACAAAAAAGCCCTAAAACAGAACTTCCACGCCTGAACACAATTCCCCAGAAGATTTAAGAGGATACGCTGAAAACAGTGCCTGGTGAATGGAAGGGCCTTGTTAGTGCACTGCTCTCCCTTCAAAGTCCCACTACACGTTGTTGGTTCTGCATCTCTCTGCCTCACTTGGCTTGTGCTGAAAAGAAAACATAAAAGAGTTTAGAGACAAAGCCCTGGTCTTGGGTGGTTACTTAACACAATTACTGAGCTGAACGTGGCACAGTAGGATGAAAAATTATAACACACGTGTGTGTGTCATGATCCAGATGGGGTGCACGCTACTACCGGACTCTACACAGGGACACAGAATAGATGTCAATGACAGGTGAAGGTGTGACTGCAGTAACAGGATTCTGGTTTACTTCACAGGGTCTTAATTGTAATGAGAGGTGCTGTGTGCTGCTACCATGTAAATATTACAACACCCTGCAACAGAGCCAAGGGCAACAGTAGTTGAGTGTCAACACAGGTGACTCTCAAAACGAGGTCAATCTTAAGAATACAATGCATCGGGTATGCCTACACGGGCAGTCAAGTGCACTTCCAAGCCTGTTCATAAATCAAAACATGCCGAGCATCCCCAGAGCTTACATGCAAGCATGTGCTCAGACAAACTTAGACTGAGCTCTGGAGTGGCAGAGCCTGAGCGTGCTCAACATGGATAAAAGCTCTCCTTCATCAACGTGCTACAGCCCAATCCACCAGCAGGTGCCCAGAGCTGGGCACTCCCTCAGCACAGCCTCTATGTTTTGAGCCTGAGCTGCAAGCAGGCGACCAGGCAGCAGTGTGGACGAGCACCGCAAGCATTATGCAGCTCGCTCGGTGTTAGCCTGCACTCGAGGCATGTGTCACCTTCAGTGGAAAGCTGGCGATTCCAGGGCTGGCTTTCACCTCTGTACACGTTGTTTTCTAGGTTGACAAAAAGCTGTCTGTAGCCTGACTGTTTTCCTTCGGCCAGTTCTGTCATCAACTGCACTTTGACTGAGCAAAGTTTTAGTTAGCAGTATCATTCCTGAGAAAAATTTCATAACTGAAAAGACTCTGTGGTTACTTAAATCAACCAGAGCAGTGATGACAGGCACACCTGGTCTACCCAAAACAACAATTTTTTTTTTGCATAATAAAAGGCAAAAATAATGGGGGAAAAACCAGCAAGATCTTGTCAGCTCTGGCAAAGTTTTGCTGTAGTTTAAGTTTGGAAAAATTTCCACAACTTTGTAAACTAGTAATGGACTTCTACATTACATCTCTGAGCAGCTCTTCAGCACCACTTCACCTCCCCAATAATAAACCCTCCAACTGTCATGAACCACAGCCCGTTGTCCAGGAACAAAAGCATCCCATTAACCAAAATATACTCTCAGTAACTTGCTCCAGCCTGCATCTCATATTTTACCCACTACAGCCCACAGTCACACATCCTGTAAAGCTGAACTGCAACAGCAAAAGGATGCTGCTGATACCCCAGACATAACACCAGGGTTCAGACTTAGTCTGTTCCTGCACAAATATGAATCAACCAACTCTCCATATGCTGAGAGCTGGAGGGATGTTGACATTATCTAGAAAGAATTCCCACAGAAGGTAACCTTCAGAGTTGTTAGAAGATATTTATTTTGTTGCCAAGTTTCATTTAATGTTAGATTGAGTTAAATCTAACAAAAAGCATAACTTTAAATTTGATTTGCTGGGAAGATAATTAAGAGGAGGTACAGACTTTTCAAAAAAAGCTGTCTGAAAAACAAAATCTGAATTGAAGCAGTGAACTACAGACCACACTGCACACCTTCTAAAGAACTGGGCACAGTAAAGTACCAGGTATTTGAAGGAAGCCAAAATACATAGATTAATTAGTAAGAATAAATTTTAGCAGGTCACTAATTTCTTTTGTGACATTTAAGAAATTAGGCCCAGATACTGCCGGACAATCAATCCATATTTAAAACATAACGCTGGAGAAGGCCTGTCTTCATGGAAAACTCTGTATGCCATGTTTATTTTACTCCACTGACAGGCATTCACGTGTCATGGTTTTTTCTGCCTTGTGCACAACTACCTGTTTCAGCATTTCAGCTGCTGGATGCTCAGCCCACCTCCACCCTGTCCCAACCCCACGTTCTTTGCAGTCACAGGGGAGGGTCTAACCTGGTACAAGCACATGTAGCTCTTCGGAGCTCTTGTATGAGCTGCCCAGCACGCTCCGGCTCTCTGCTGGCCGCCTGCAGCAAGGCTTTCCGGAGCGTATGCCGGCATTTCTTCTGACGGGATTCTGCCCGCTCCAGGCGGCAGAGGTGCTTGTATTTCTGCTGAAAGTAAGTGCAAAGTCTGGTCACCCTGGAACTCCTGTCATCTGCATTGTCATCATCGGACCTGAAGGAAGGAAAATAAACACAAATGGGCTTTAAGTTACTTCTTTTTTGATGCAGAAGCTATTTTGTCACTTTAACAGAATTGTTAAGTTGGCACCCATCTTCCAGCCACACAAACATCCAAAGGCTGAAATCAGGCAGGAATGTTTGAGAAATAGTAAGAGCAGGATCCCTTTTAAATTCTAAAGGTACTTGCCCTTCTTAGTATGTCATTATTAGAGATTACATCAATTTATCATCAAGTCTGACACATTTAAATGTCTAGAGCCTGCTGTTAAAAAAAATCTATACTGTTAACCTTTATTTACTGTAAATGTCTTGGCAAATGAGACAAACGCTTAAATCAAAGTGGAATTAATGGAGAGGACAAGGGTGGGGAACTGTGTAGTGGAAATTTATTGAAGAAAGGTCATGCTGGAGAAGATGGTCAAATTCTAACAAGTACCAAAACTGCTGACTTTTTCCAATTCCTTTTACTCTGCCAGGCGGTGTATTCCTTTCTAAACCAAATTACACACTAACATGGCTAACAGCTGATATTGATTTCTCCTTGCTGCAGAGTTAAAGTTGAGTTACAGTAAGTAGTAGAGAAGAAATTCACATTTAACTCCAAAGGTGGCAAGGGAAAAATCAGACCAGGGCTAAGCAATGACCAGATGAAGGACTAATCCAATTCTTCGTTTGCTTTGAAAAGCTGCCTCCCATTTATCTTGGCCTTCTGAACATCCAGGCACATATCAACAAGACCATCAAACCATGTCAACACATTCAGTTAAATGAAGTAAAAGTCATGAAACAGAAAATCATCACTGGATGCTAAAACAGCAAGGTCCATGAAGTTTCTCAGAAGTCCTCCACGACAAGCTCTAGTTTGTAGAATGAGTTTTTGGTTCGCGGAGCAACAAAGTGCATGTGCTGAATCTAAGCAAAGTAGACTTTGTTCAGTTTTTCCTTCAAGTTTTTCCTATAGAAAAGAGAGACTTTTTGCAAACTTTCCTATCAGTAACACAAAGGAAGGATGGGGGAAAGTAGAGAAATCCAAGCAAATGAAGCAAATCAAAAGCTCACAAGGTTCAGACTGCAGAGCTTGGCAAGACTGAAGGAGCTGACACCCAAACCTGCGCACAGCAAAGCAGACCAGAACTAGCTGAAATGGGAGAGATGTGAAATACCAGCCACGATATTTAATAAATACAGTAAGAGCCAGAAATGCAGTCAGCAGACCTGTCCCTGAAAAGCCATATGACGAGGACCTACTTTCCTCTCTGGAAACTCTAACTCTATTTATATGCAGGCCAAATTTAAGAGACTGCAACCATCTCCACTACAACTGTCTGCAAACACTCTGCAGCAGCAAACAGTGCCTTGACACAAATGCATGTTTTTATCAAGTTTTATGTAAAGTAAACCATTCCATGTATTTTGTCTGTTAAAACAGGTTAAAGCTTATTTTCTAGAAGCGTAAATTACAAGTAATTAACCTATACAATTACATGCTTAGCAGCTAATACAACCTGTTAAAAATACTTAACATTTGTAATGTTTAAAATATTTTTACACTGAAAATTAAAAGAAAATACACTTTTAAGATCTCTTAGGAAAGAATGTTTACTGGGAAAAACTACCTGTTTAGAAAAAATTAACTGTGAGCTGTTTAATACAGATTTTCCTTCTTCCAATGTATTAATAAAAAACAGGAATACATGGATGGCATATATATTTATTGATAGGCTTAACACCTCTAGATATTTCATTACTGCTCTGGGCCAAGACTTTTAAACACAGTTGCAGATATACTGATTTAATTTTAAATATGGTTAAAAATTAGAAAATACTTTTTCCTTTAGGGGGGAAAAAAAGCGGAAAGAGTGTTTTTTTAATGTAAATTTCTATATATTTAAGACTTTTTACTTTCCTCACATTGAAAGAGTCAGGAAAAGTCACTGTACACTAAAATATTTTTGAACTGCAGTTTATGAGATCTTTATTAAAAAGTAGATGAAGAAAATATACCAAGGAAGTAGAAAGAAATCATGCCTGCAGTGGGCAAGGGCTTATTTTGAGCCAAATAGTTTCTAAAAACCTATTCAGAATTTTGTTTCCAGGCCAGCAAGATTAACCAAAATGGTCATATGTTCAGAGAAACCTAAAAATACCAAAGTAAAACCTATTTTTATTTTTTCAGTAGTCAAGTACTAAAAACAAAAGGTACTTTTATCACTGTCCTTTCATAAACAAGTTTAGCAACTTCTATTTAGTTTATTGTCTTAAGCTGCATATAGAGCTTCTGAAGTTCAACTTAACATGTGGCATTTAATTTTAAAGAAGATTTCTGAAAGTGCACGCAAGCCATTTGATAGTCCAAAATGCTTCTTCCCTTTCAGATTGTCATGTATGAACATCAGGGGAATTATTGCTGAGCATTCACGAAGAAAACAAAGACAGCACGAAGCAGCAGAAAGGAAGAGCAAAAGGGTAGCACGAGCAGTCAGGGACCACCAGGGAACAAGGAGAACATTCTCTCTATTCTGAGACACCCCAACAACAACAACTATACTTCAAATCCCTCCTTACAGAGAAGTTCTGAAGAACCTTCCCTTCTTTCTTTTAGTTATTCTAGCTAATGTGAGTTGTTAAATCCAACTTTGACAATACAGTACTGATATTTGCTCCTTTGAGTGGGGTGGTATGAGGAGGGACTCACACTGCTTTTTCAAACTTGCTACTTGCTACTTGAAACGCTTGCTTTATCTATATTTCAGTGTACAAACTGGAAAACCACTTTGTTATAACAAAGTCATTTGTTTTCCAGTACTTTCCAAGCTACCAAACCCAGAAATCAAATAATCTAGGGGAAAGCTTCACTAATCTGCAGCAGGGAACAGTTCCCTGCTCTCTCCAAACTGCTGCTCCCACAAGGGGAGCTGCTCTCCCATAAGGCTGCTTCCACCTCAGCAGCCTTTCTGCAAGCCACCCAGCCTGCACTGTGCTCACTACCAACTCCTGTGCTACTATTTGAACTCAAACATTTGTGCCTGCCTCAAAGCACTGCATCCCAGAATCCTAGGAGCACAGGAACACGATTTTTCAAAATTAAAGCCCAGAATAATAAAAGCAAACATTTGGCCTGCGTTTCCACAGGTGATTGCAGCAATATGAATTTTACAGATTAAAAGGCCAGAAGGCAAGTGAACAAAAAAAACATATTACTGCTGTCGTGGTTTAACCCCATTCAGCAGCTACGTACCAGGCAGCTGCATCTTCACTCTCCCTGCTCCCACCAGTGGGATGGGGAGGGGAATCAGAATAAAAAAACATCTTGTGGCTTGAGCTAAGAACAGTTTAATAATGGAAACAAAGTAAAATATAGTGCTTCCATTTATTGTAATGGGGGAAAAAAAAAAGAAAATAGAAAGAAAACCCAAGAAAAACAAGTGATGTCCTATACAACTGCTCATCACCCACTGAATGATGCTCCGCCCACCCCTGAGCAGCGCTCAGCTCCTCCCAGACTATTCCCCCAGGTTATATACTGGTCACAATGTTTAATGGTATGGAGCATCCCTCTGGCCAGCTGAGGTCAGCTGGCCTAGTTGTGCTCCCTCACTGTACCTCTGCACTCCCTCTAGTGCACCTCCTCTCTGGCAAAACATGGCAAACCGAAGTGTCCTTGACTTAGGGTAAGCACTGCTTAGCAACAACCAAACCATCAGGGTGTTATCAATGTTATTCTCATACTGAACCCAAATCACTGCACTGCATCAGCTAATAAGACAAAAATGAGCTCTATCCCAGTCAACACCAGGACACTGTTAGGACATTAGCTTTAAACCAATCTGGTGAATTTCTGAGAGTTTAAGAGCAGCTGGAGTGTCACACAAGAAATTCAACTGAAAGTTAGAGGATTCCCCCCACAATCACATAAGCAGAAATACTGAGAACCAGCTGTCCGGGAAAGCAGAAATTAACCGTCCTCTTTCTTTCAATAGTCTGTTCTGAAAAGCATCCTCTCCACTGTCTTCCATGAAGTTGAATGGAAAAGGACAGAATGAAGTTTGCTGGTGGGACCATAAACAGAGAAAAAACAGCTTTCATTTTACTGTAAAAAACAGCAAATAAATCCCGTAACGTAAGGGATGTGATTTCAGAAAGTAAAAGTTTTAAGAAACAATCTCCATTGGTTTTCTGGTGAAATAAGTCTCCAAAATTCAGAGCTGTAACAAGTCACTGGCTAACTAAGTTAGAAGCCACGAGTCTGCACTGCCAGATTAGCATGACAGAGTTATTTTGACAAATCAAATCTCCCCAGACATAGTTTGAACTAATTCACCACCTTCAGCAGCAGGCAGACCACATTGCAGAAGTGTCAAAGTGAAACATTTCAGGTAATAAAACCTTTACAGAAGCTTGCAGAATAGGAATTAAAGTTTTAGAAGGCTTACATCAAGTGAATGTTTATCTATAATCCAAATCAGTAAAGTTGTTGAAGAGCTAATACTGGGCAGACTGATGGAAGTACAAAAGCAGCCAGTAGCATACAAAATTTTATCCATTATGATTAGTTAAGACAGCATTTAACTGAGGTGCACAAAATGCTAGAATGGAACAGCAAATGTCAAGACAAGGTACTATTTTTCTCCCAGTATGTGAAAAAATTAGGAAGAATCCAAAGGAAGTTAAGACTAATAGAAGACAAAACACACAGAGAATGACCTTTATAAGCTGACAAAAAAATAGGGATATATGGAAGAATCAAATCAAATGTCAGAGAGAGAAGAGTGCAAGGGAAGTTATTTAATAGATATATCTGCTGTGAAAAAATATGTATGATTTAAAATTCTGAAGTCTGTTCATGTTTTCCCAAAACAGTTTATTTAAAAGGTGTCTTTTAAGCTAAAACTGTTTGTGAAAGCTTACTCTCTGACTGCTGATGCCCTAAAAAACAATGGCCATTCATAATAAAAAAACCCATAACCTTTTTATTTTATAAAAGAAAAACCCACACACTGTTTAGCAGCTTTGATTCACTGAAGACTCTTACTATTTAGCATCCTGAGGTGTGTCCTGATGACAGAGATACAGCTTTGTTGTTCACTTTGAGGACAATCTTTAGAGAAGGCAAGAGTTCTACTAAGTTTCAGAATTTCCATGTAACAACAAAATAAGATTTCATTAACACCATTATTCTAAGTATTATATTTAAAAATTAAACAAATGGGAGAAAGTTGTAATATCAAAAAGTCCAGTTGCATAGTGGATGAGAATCATGTTATAGAAATGACAATCGGATTCTACTGAGCCCCCAATTTCTTTGGTAAAAACATTCTTTGTTACAATACTATGCTCAAAAACATTCTTTGTTACAATACTATGCTCAGGATGCTTTGTTTTAACTTTGCACCCTAAAATTTACATTAATAGACATATCATATCCTGCTGTAAGTTCAGATTCATGGCTTAGCAGTACATAGAGAACATCATAAGCCTTTCTGCACCAGCAGCTAATACCCGCTCTGCTTATCCCTTTGATCACATCACTTCCTTTCAATGCTCACAAGTATGGACAGAGGTCTATTTAACAACTACCACGGCATTTAACAAATACATTAAAACAATAACCTGCATAAATACTATAAGGATTAATGAGTGAAATGTAGCAAGTTTACTAACAAAGTTATTAACAAACAGTAGGAAAGACAAGAAACCGTACCAACTCCATTTGGTTATAATTCAAGACCTCCACTCAGCAAGGCACAAAAGTTCATTAATAAATTCCACTGAACTCAATTAAATTTAGACAAACAAGCTTAAATCCTTTCCTGATGCATCCTTCTGATAGCAGACTGCACAAAGGTCTCTAAGTTAGTTGAAAACTGGGACAGAAGGCAACAAGCTGTTTCATAGCTCTTACAAACAAATGAGTTCAAACAATCCTTTGTTTCAGCAAAGCACTTGAACAAGTGCTTAGGTTCCACTGACTCCACTTGAAGTGAAACTCACATTTACATGATTTATTCCATCAAGGCCAGCATGAATACTAAAGAATGATACTCACTCAGGTCTCTCATAGCCGAGGCTTTCTCGGATGGACCATGCAACCTGGTAAGGGGAGGTTTGCTCTGAATCCTCCAACTCTTCTCCACTGTCTTCAGACCAATCCAGCCCTAAGGGAATTGAAAACATAAAAGCTGGATGAAAAGAGTATCCACCTTATATAAGCTTCTGAGCAACCTGTGGCCCAAGAGGTGAATGTGTAGTATAGTTAAAAACATAATTATGTTTGATTAAGTTATCTAATATTCTCAATTACACAGGAAAAGTTACAGTAGCGGCTCCATTGCAATGTGCAAATAGCATGAACTGATTTTTGTCATAAGCAAGAGTTTGGTTTTTTTAAATCCTTACTGGCTTCTTTATTCATTAACAGTGGAAGAAAAATCACCAGCTTTTTTACCCACAGAAAAATATTAGTTTTCATAACCACATAAGCACATGGGAACTTTAGAGACAAGGTAAGGGAGAAGTCCCTGTCACAAAGAACTGACTACCTGGTAAATTTTAATACTATATGATCTAAATAGGCTAACATTTCTGTTTATATTCTGACCCTTCACTGTGCCATAACACAGAGAAGAATATGAAAATCACAAGACACAGCATCAGGGACAGAGATAGATACACAGCTACACAGGGTGTTCCTCTGCTCAGTTCCTGTCACTGCCAGACAAATGCACATATTAGCACGAAGAGAGAGCTAAAGGGAGAAGCACAAACACTCCTGCACTTTTACCAAGCAGCACGTTTTCATTTAATGATGATGCAGTCTAACCAACTTATTGTGTGCACCAGCAGCCTCAGTTAGTCAATCCACAGACAACTGTTGAACATGACAACCAGAAAGAGGCCAGTAAGTTCTCAGGCAGAACATTTTGTCTGGAACTTCCTCTTTCACAGTTTTTCCTACTCCCTCTCCCACATCCAGTGAAATTCTTGCCACTTTCTTGCAGCAGTTGGAATAAAATCCCATTGCTGCCTTTGCAAGCCAGCATTTTTTCTTTTTCGCTTTCTTCTGTGCTCCTTGAAAATGGAGCAGCAGTTGGGATAAGAGTTAAGGAGCATTTTATTTTTGTTAAAAATAAACTAAACAACTACATCTGAGATGATTCTGAAGTCAGATGCTTTGAATTTGGGAAATGCATCAGTACTTGGACACCTACTTTCACAATTAGAGACACACACACCTATGCTTGGAATACCATCATTAGGAGCATCTTCATCATACAGAAGCAACACTTTACTATGAACCACAAATATCAGAAACCAAATTTTTCAGGAACTTCGGCATCCTTTTATTAAGACGTGCATTTGAACAAAATTAGGATATATTGAGACATTTAATGAAATGTCAGAATTATACTTTCAAGGTAAGTGGTTCTCTTTCCTCTTGCCCCTTTCATAAAGGAATGAAAAAACAACTTAATCATCATTCGATTAAGATGTCCACAACTGACAACTATGTAACAAATTGTTTACCCAAAGTCTAAAAACAAAATCAGAAGTTGTGTTGTTTTGCTTCTAATGGGCACTGCAGAAATGAAGGAATAAAATCTAATCCAGATTCAGCTATACTGACACCAAAGACTGCAGTTACATTAATACCCAATCACACAGCTCTGGTGTAGGTACACATAAAACTGGCTTAATCTTTTGAAAGATTCTGTGCAGTCATCTCTAGTGCTACTCTATCATAAAAAAGAAATCCTGAAATTCTCTGAACTGGCATAACTAGTCTTAAATATTAAGATATAAAATGAATAAAAAACAAATATATTTTTCACTCTCACGTAACTTATATGTGAATTCTTTTACTTTGCCAAATATAAACTGTTCTAAGTGCATACACATACAGTTATGCATCTGCATAACTGTACATGTATAGGTCTAATTGGTTTTTTTACTACACCTTTTTTAGTAAAATGTATTCTCTTCACTACTTGAGAATGTAAAACATTAAATACAGAAAACATCTTTCTACAGTCTTTCAAACACAGGTCACTTTCTAAGCTATTGGGGTCTGTAACACTCAGAAAAGCCTCTGGAGTTGCCATTCCTCTAAAGACCTGCATTATATATAGGACCATCAAAGCTGTTTTCTGAAGAACAACACCCTTTGGAGACATGCGATGGTATGTTAATTATCTTCTGAACAAATAGTCAAGCTATCCCATGAGTGCCAAAGGGCAGATCTTAACAGCAAATTAAGGAAAGGTTAATTGAAATAGCAAAAATTACAGATGTTTCCAATTAAATAAGACACTATATGAAGAATGTCTAGATTTATTTGAAGTCTCTTTTTTAAAAAAACTGAAAATACTGTTCCTGCTCTAGTATTACACACTGACTCACATTTCCATTTCCCTTTTAGTATTTTACTTGTTAGAAAAGTAAAATCTAAAACTAAGCCAAAAAGTAACTTTGGTGGGTAAGGAAGACAAATAGGGCAGATAGGTGTGCCTAGGTATGTATTCACCCTCAGACAAATAAATGACAAGGTCAGTTGACTTTTCAAAGCCTTATAGAGCACCACTACCATACCAGCAAGTTGGTTACACTTTCACAAGCAGCAATTATGGTTTCTTGATAATAATTAAGGGTAAGACTACTCCTGGACTGGTATGTGGACAAGATTCCACCCTCCAATTACCTTCTGCAACAGTGATGCTCTCCTGCAGTGGTCTTTCTTTTGTTCGTCCACTTTCTATAAACTAACAGGCCCAGTCAAGAAAAATTATCTTGTGCTATAATTTTCCAGTCAAGTCAGCTGGAAATTTGGATCTGCCGAGAACGACGGGTCGAATCTCCAAACTTTTACTTGCATTCATTTTGTAATGTGCACTTGTCAGACATCTAATATTTAATCTAACTTTGTCCACTCATGTCGGTACAGCTAGTGTCACCTTTACTACTTGAGTTGTAAATCTTCTATATGATGTCTCTATCATCCAAGCAATGTTTTCTACATCTCAATTTCACTTCTCAAATGGTTAACAGAACATTAAGAATAAAAACCAACCAAAATGCCATAAACCATTTATGATGGATGCAGGCATTCCCTTCATAGAGAACAGGGCTAAAGAAAATGTCACTAGATTACCTAGCTCAAGATTATTCTGTAAGGGCTGCACACAAATGCAGGACAGGGCTAGAAGACCTTCCCCTTTTTTGGTTTTAGGTTAAAAAATAAGGCTGCAGTGCATGTATTATCTGCTCACCTAAATGAGGAAACAGATCGGTGTCCAGCTGCTGTTTTCGAGTGCACAGTTTCACCAGTCTCTGTAGCCGGCTCATGCAGGACGAGTGCGGAGAGAAGGCTGTGGCTTTCATGAGGACCCGATCAGTCCTTGGTGGGTCTGTGACAGGAGCCCTGGCGGGTGGCAGGAGAGGCAGAGGTCTCTTGTTAGACAACTGCCGGGCTTGTGCTATAGTGTGTGTGGTGGGTGCCACTCCCTGCATTGGTAGGCTGGTGTTCAGAGGTTGAGGTGACTTGCAGACGATGCCCTGCGTTAGCCCTGTCGGCTTTAACGAAGCTGATGAAGGTGGCAGATGGGAGTGCTGCTGCTGCAGAGGCTGCTGCTGCAAAGGTGCAGGAATGGGGCTAAAGTGCTCTTGGCGAACTTTTAAAATCTCTGTCTCTCTCTGGCGCTGCCGGTTTTGAGCCAACTTGCTCTGCAACTTTTTCCTCACTGTTGCCCCTTTCTTTAGGTCATCATCCTCCTCGTTGAAAGCAAAGGGGTCTTCTAATTCTGCCTCCAGGTAGTGGAGAGGATGCCTTGCCCCTGGAGGGGAGAGGGACATCCCATCCAGTCCATTGGGCATCTTCAAGGCCAGGGTGGGCACTGTCAGACTGAAGGCCATAGCATCCATCTGATGCCTGACCTTCACTTCCTCTATGGGATCATTCTTTTTCTTCCTCTCCTTTTTCGGTATAAAGCCAAGTACCTGCAGGTGGCTGTTGCAGTACCTTTGAAAAATAAAAACAGTCAATTATTAACTAAACTCCTATAAGTAAAATATGAAGAAAAGTCATCACTTAAGGGAAACCCACACAAATATAAATCGAAACACAAGAGGTTTTGTAAGAAGTGTAGAGAACTGCTTTCAATAATACATGTAACTGTGGTGCTCCCAACATGTAACAGAAAACAAAAGGTTATATAAGTGACAATTTCTAATCTTAAGATATAAGTCTTCATTCATTATTCACAGGAGATTCACATATAATCCTTCAAAATCTTAACTCTCTAATAGGGTGAATACTCACAAAACAAAGTGAACAAAACAAATGGACTGTCTGATACATAAAACATTAAGAACTTGACCCATTAACTGATCATTTCAAAAGCTCCCAAGAAAAATTACATTAAAGACTACTTCCTTTCATTTGCCTGTTTGCTCAGTGGAAATAGTTAACATTTTCATTAATGCACACATTATTATTATGAATTCCACTGTAGTAGGGAGAGCAGTTTCTTATAAGGACAATCTCACTACATATCTGCTGCAAAGGGTCACTATTTGCAAATAAAAACCTAGTTATAAAAAGAAATTCTCTGCTGCTAGAAAATATTTACACAATGCCAAGAATATAAATATACATATATAATAATGGCCAGTCTTCGCGAACGAAGAACCGGGGAAGGTCTTTACACCTTCCAGCCTGCGCATTGGATTTTTTTAGGTGAGACACAGTGTGCGCGGAACTGAGCCCACCCTTTAATCCTGAGGTTCATCTGCCGGGGCCAAGCACGCTTGGACAGTGGCAGCGAGGTCCTCAGAACGTAGATGGATTGCCTTACAGGGCTAACGAGCTCCATCTGCCCAAGAATATGTATACATCCAATCCACAAACATGGATTTTAAGTTCTAATATGAAAAACTTTCAAAGCCATATTATTAAAAAAAGTTTTTGAGAATTTGTCATGAAAGTTTAAAAAAAAAATCACAATTTATGTCCACAGATAACATAATAAAAAGTAAAAAAATTAACCTTTGTCTGATTAAAACAAGCAGGTGATAGAAATGTAGGAATCATGATCTGATTCTTTTCCTGTTTCCCACAGGCAGGCACTCCTGCCTCTGTAGAATGCCACCAGCAATCAGAATTCTGCCCTTGCAGAATCCCATTTATAACCTGCAGCTTATTGATGGAAACAAAGATATAAGGAAAAAGTGATCCAAGTATTTATGAATAAGGAAATAGCCATGAAGGTATTCTTTAAAATCTGATCATTATAAACCTGAGAAAAGTAAGTTTTGTGGAACAAATAGGTTAAAATTAATTTATTCCCGGTATTTATGGAGGGAAAAAAAATGGCAGAAAAACCCAACCCAAACCTCACAAAAGGTTTAACACTTCAGCTTAGTGACTTTCAACCTGTTGGCCCATCTCTAAAGAAGCAATGTGTGAGCAGCTTCTAATGAGTCCTTAAAAGGTAAAAATGAGAAATCAAATTCATTTATGCTCTTTAATGATCTCCATATATACAGCCTCTTGAGGGATCCACACTCATAAGGATTCACAAATCAGAAAAGTCTGAAAAGTACTGCTACTTATTACTGTCTAAATAATTTCTTTATTATATTATGTTGTAAGTAATAAATAAAGCTAGATGAGGCAAGCTGAAAGCCAGCAATTTGTGGAGTCCTTATTAGAACACACTGGAATACTGTAAATTATTATTGAGAGATGCATTTCTAAAAATAAAATTATATAATGAAGGCTCAATAAAGCTTCCCTTAAAGTCAACAAGCTCTGCTTCCATGATTAAAGTTAAGCACTTGTTACATATTTTGTTTGAACAAGACTGGTATCAGTTACAACAGCACTTTTAGTATGACAGGAGAAAAAACAATAAACAGACAAAACAAACACAAGGGAATTCTTTTCCCTCTTATGCCAATAAAAACAGTGTTTTGCTCAATGTGAATGCTTCCCTTATATTGTTCAGAACTTAAATATTGTCATCTTGTGCTTGTGCTGATGTGAGGAGGTAAAACTGGATAGTTTGTTTTCATTGTACAAACAAGACAAAAATAGAAAAGGTGAATAAAGCTATGAAAAGGTAATAAGCTTGCTAACATTCTCTGAGGTTTAGGCTGTTAAGGGCTTTGGCTTGTTCATTTAACTCCAATACAATAATTTTTATATGGCAGAGAATAAATCTTTGGCTCTTACAACTGACCATATTGCACCACTGAGAGCCAACTGTATCCTCTGGACACAAACCCATAGATGTCAGGCCACAACATACAGATCCCAGGCACTTGCAGACTCCAGAACACAACGACTTTGCTCTGTGCTTTAAGGCTCTATCAACTCCCTGTCTTCCAGCATAATTGACGCTGTAACATCTTGAACTAACAGGAGCGGGAAGAAGCCAGGAAGAGCACTTCAATTTCCTCGGGGTAAAGAAGACTACACACAAGCAGTTTTGGCCAGGCTAGGCATAGTATATGAACACCAACTCAACCCTGACCTTGTCAGGCTCTAGCCGGTCCCACGCAGAGCCAGGAGGGCACGCACACCCACTTCCCCATCCTTCAGTTTCCAGAGTGGTTTTTTAGTTGGCCCTGGACCAAACTGGCTCTGACTTTATCCAGTGCTGCATTAGTAGTTCATGCTCCATGGAAGTCAGATTACTGGGGAGACTAGAATAGCACCTGCAAGTAGCATCATAATGCTTTTCACATAGCTCTGAGCTTGAAACCCATTAGAGTCAAGCTGGCCCTACAAGAGTCAATTCTGATATGCCTGTCTTAGTGGCTGAGTTTGTCACTTCTATAACCTGAGAGTTATTCTCAGCTGACAGTATCACATTGAGTATCTAATACAGTTTTTTTCACCTTCCCTACTCAGTGCCAAACGCATTTATTGTGTGCAGGTAAGATCAAATGAATTCCACACATACAGTAAGACCGATGGGTTGATATCCATTAAAATTATCAAATCATTAAGCACACAAAATGTGATGGGATCTGAAGGCTTCAGCTGGACAGTTTCCCTCATCCACTGGGAGGACAAGAATTTAGACAGTGAGGTTTTCTACCTACAATTGCGTTCTGCTTCTCAGTACATCCCAGACTGGTATTGATTTCCATCACTTACTTAAGATCCAATAAACTGGGGAACAGCTTGCATATTAACAAAATATTTAAAGATTCTCTTGAAAGAGGAGATTTAAAATGGTGCTTAACACAACTAAATTGTAATAACCGTATATTTAAAAATCAAGTTGAACTTAATTATGTTTGTCTGTATTTGGTTAAGAGAGAATTAGGAGATGTATTCAGAGAAAATACAGATACAAAACCTATGTCTGTATCATCTCATACATATATTCTTTAAAAAAACAAGACAGTGAAAAGAGAAACTGGACTTCAAATAAGGCAATGAAGTCACACACTATTAATGGATCTAATTTGTAGAACTTTAATGGTTAATAGGAAATCTAATAATATGATACCATATTAAACATATTTGTGGCTGGTAGCATCTCATTTATCAGGGTTAAGTGATAATTCTTTTTAATTATCTGTGGACAGACTATGAAGCTTTTGGCATATAATGCGTGCATCTTCCTAACTTTTTTTTTTATAATCTTTAAAAGTATAAAAAGAAGATAGCTGTCAGAGCATCATACAGCCTGCTTCTGATCATGTACGGTTACATGTGTAAAATTGTGAAAAAATGACCATCTGACAGTAATTTTGTGCACAAAAAATTAGAAGCTATGAGTGAAGAACTCAGTCACAGCAAACATCTTTATATTGAACGGAGTGTGAAGAAAGTCTCCTAAGAAACAGATACAGGTTTGCCTGCCAAAAAAAAAAAAGTTCAGAACAGCCACGGTCTTATCACTAGCATTCATTAAATTTTATTGTTAAAACTAAACTCTGCCCTGAGAAGCAGTCTTTTAAAATATTCTTTCAAACTATCACATCCTCTCATTTGAAATTAAAAGTTTATTTTCTCCTTCAGACACCTGCTGTCCTCTTCAAGTACTGTAATGTGACACTCGACATGCAATTGAATTATTCTAATATAACATACACCAGATGTCATGACCACACTTCACTTTAACTTGAGAAAAATCAAAAAGAACAAAGTGTGAACTCAATTCAAGGTGTAAAGAAAAATCTCAAATTCCATGGGAACATACGAGACCTAAAAATGTGTCATTAAGTACTATTACTTCTATTGTTTTTAAGTATGACCCCTGGTAAACAGCAACTCTGGCTCAGTCAGCTCTTGCATCTGAAATTACATCATACCATTTGTGCTGCCCATTTCCATGATCATTCCTGTGAGCTTATTTCCAAAGAGCCTCAATTGTACAGTAGCAAAGAAACACTCACCGACTGTCAAATTACAGCTTAAAGTTATTCATCTTGTGCCATTTGAGCATTTGCCCTACAGCTTTTGACAAACATTCATGTGTTTTTTTCTCACTTCATCAGTCTCCTCAACTGAAATGGCAGGTGAAGTGCAAGTTAATTTAGAGCACAGTCCAACTGTTGTTTCAGACAAGAGAGGGAGTTGTGAGCTGAGAAGGAAGTTATATGTAGGGCACAGTGGGAACACTGCTAATAATGCAAAAGGTTAGTGAATGGCAGCTAATAATGTGAAAGGTCAGTGAATAGTTGGTTTGATCTTTTTTGGCATATTTTGTTTATATTTTAGGTTTAGAAAGCATTTCTAGTAGAACAAGCCTCAGATAGTTAACATAGACATTAATTAAATACTGTGTTACTGGCAAACCCTGCAATGATAACTCCAAAAAAAATAGTCATATATAGCTGTCAGACAAGATTAGGCAAATTCTGCTATTTCAGCCCCAGCAGCACCAAAGAGAATGGTGTTCAGGAAGCCTTAAAGAGCAAGGAAGAATGTCCTTGTGGCTACAGTATGGGCTGCAATTCAGAAAATCTAGTTTGAATTCCAGCTCTCAACAACTTCAAGCACTATCTCTTGCAAGGCATTTAATACCTGGGCACCTTGGGCATCTTCATTTGGGCAAGGAAGGTGAGAGAAAGGTGGGAAGCAAAGAAGAAAGGGAGTGGACAGTACTTTCCCAGCTGGCTCATCTGTTATCAAGTAATATTTATTTTATTCCAGTAATACAACACTACAGATCAGTACCAAATCACAAACACTGAACTGTAATTCTGGATTTGTCTCTATGTGTCACTGTTCCCTGTTCCCAGAAGATATGCATTTTCAACTGTTTGTCCTGAAAAAGCAGATGGAAGTGTGCTTTTGGCACTGCTGTCTAAACAAGCAGGCCTTTTTTAGAGCATGTACTGTGAGTGACAAAGCAAATTAGTTAGAACGGCTGATATTGTGGTTTGATCCACAGTTTATGGTGAATTTGAGAAAAGCAATGAACTCTCCCATAAACTTCCTTGGGATTAAGTTACTGCCCCCCCTTCTGAGTTACTTGACTCTCGCAGAAAATAAAATAAAGTTTACTGGTCTTAAAACAAAATCCTCAAAGGAACATCCTGGAATACAATTCGCTCGAGCCAGTTCCACCCTCATCCTGAAACCAGGCAGCAACTTAAAAGAAAACTCGTGCCAACATCGCAGCCACTTCCCACTTTGCAGAGAGAGAACCACAACTCACCTACGGTCCTCAGATTTGGGGATGGGGTTGGTGCAGCGCTGGCTGTTATACTTGGCCACATATTCACATTGCTTGAAGGGGGCAGTCTTGTCCTCCAGAACGTGTCTGATACAGAAGGCGTAGCCGTTAAGTCGCCTCTGCTTGCACAGTTTGGGGCTATATGAGCACAAGGGCTTATTGTCAACCTCAGAGAAGTGTATGTGTTTGCCTTCATACATCACGTGACTCTATTCCTTGTGAACATCAGCTGAAAGAACCAAAACATTAAGACAAATCGCATAAGGAAAGAAGAAATGCATTCAGTTCTAGACTGCACGTTCCATTTTGGCAGGAAAGAAGGACCCAAAACAATACCTGATTTTAAATCTTCTGTACCATATCAATGTCAAGAGAGAGGCCCAAGGACACCACTATCCTGGAATGATGATGAACCAAGATGAAGCAGATTGTCTAAGGAAAATATCAAAAAGGTCAATGTCAGTCAGAGTAAAACACATATTACTAGTCCTCAGCAAGTAAGCAGGCAGATGTAGTCACCAAACCTGTGGTTCAACTAGCATCCAATAAGCCAAATCCGCTAGCCCAACAGTTTTCAATCAGTAGTCACAGATCTTTGGAAAACTGGAGGAAATTACTGGGGAAAAGAAAACTCTACTGCCACCACACTTAAACAAAACTTCACTCATCTACCAGAAAATGATTAGAAGCAACAAGTTGAAAAAGGTTAAGTGTCAGATTAGATCACTTGGCTTTCAGAAATCAAGTTGAAAAATTATTAACTCATTTGATTGCACATGTTTTACTTCAAGTATTTATACTTACAAAACCACCAGTGACTGTCTTTGCTCCACAAAATTATTTAATCAGTCAGTGCAACAAAGTCTTCTTTTTAAAAAAAGCTTTCTTTATCATATCTGATGATCACTCTCTAATTCTTGTAGCTGCTTACAGTTTCTGCAAGCATTAATATGCAGTCCTTCCTGAGGTCATCATGGTTCTTCAACGCTTGTCCTACCTCCCTGCACTTACTTTAGGGAAATGCAGGCATTAATATCAGAGGTAGTACTCCCATCAACACCAGGAGGGTAGAAACATCAATTCAACAAGAGGTTGGGGGTTTCCCCCCCTAAAATACACTTCAACAGTGCAAATCCATGCAATCATAAGGTACTTTTTCAGTTTATAACACCATGGAGGTCTTCAGTAATCATATTTTTTTAAAAAAAACAAACAAACAAAACACCCAAACCATCTCAAAGTAGCTCCAAATAAAATTAACATTACATATATTCTGTAATGCGGTGTATTCAGTACTCAGTTCAGTTTCATATGTGTTATACACCAAGGAAAGGAGTGTTCCTAGAGGGGATATTCAGGAAATACATAATAAATTAGAGGCATGTGACAAATGTACAGAATGAACATCAAATGTACATCAGTGAACTCACTTGTTCCCAAGGCCCAAAATGGCAAGAACATGATTGCAAGGAGGAAGCCTACACAGACTTTGTAAGAAAGATGCACTTTCCCCTTGTAAAGGTACAAGCCTTCACTTTCTGCTGTATAAAAGTGCCTTGAGGAAATGACAAGCACAATGGCTCTGGGGGATCTAGAAAAGCAACTTTAAGTCACTAGGGCAAAACAAAACACCCTATCACACATCTAAGAGTAAACTGCATAAAATTGGCCTCTCATAGAATCACAGAATTAACTGGGTTGGAAGAGACCTCCGAGATCATCAAGTCCAACCCTTTCATTAGCTTGTATCTAGCTGTAGAAGCAGACAGACACTTTAAGATTTAGAAACATGCTTAAAATTCTTAGAAGAGCTGTATACATACATGCAGCATACACAGCATAAAGAATGGAGACATGGGCTACAAAATTTAACTACCATAATTGACCTGATTAATCATTTGAGACAATAATAAGGATAACTTTTTATTTCCTCTTGAAACACATTTTCCCTTTCCACGCACACTTGCAAGCATGCACCCCAGCAGCAGGGGCCTTGCACTTTGTTTACACCAGGTAGCCACAAAACAAGCACAGACATCTAGTCCAGTCCCAACTACCTTTCCCAGCTTTTCTCAATGCATGGAAGCACATACTATACATATTTGAAACCGATCATTGGAATATGCCTTTCCACAACACATCAGTCTTAAGAACAAGAAAGCTCAGTGTTGACTATGCCCTTCAAAATACAGAATGGGAAAAGGGAACTCTCTCTTCTTTAGCATGTTAAAGACCAAATAATCCTTTCAGACACCTGTGCTCAGGCAGATACTGACATACACTTCAGTATTATTCAGCAACGCCATGAATGAAAAACATAAATCCTATGGGGACATGACCCATACAGGAGTTGTGGTCTGGGTCTGGATCCTGTATGATTGACACAGACCCCTTCATTACTATGGCAGCCAAAGTTATCAAATGAATCTTAACTAATTGCATCTCACACACGCAACAATGCTGACAGAAAGCCTTTTGCTCTGGAGTTTGCTTCTCTCAATATTTAACCAAAGCTTGTATTTGGTGGCATACTGGACAGGATGTAAAACTTGAAAGACCAAGTGCATCTTGCAGCTGGGGTGACTCACATGGTGCTCTCTATTTCTTTCTGGTTTACTTAGAACCTTCTTTCAAGCTACTACTATCATGCTCTGCAGTGTTTCTGACAGATCAATGACCTTCTCTCTTTCGTATAACCCAGCAATATTTCTTTTCTGAAGGTTATCAAGCACCAGACCAAAGGAAAAAAGTTCCTCAGGATGGTTACATAGTAAACAGCAAGAAATGCATAGCTTGTGTGCCTCTGTTAAGCTTCTGTAAAGAAACTGCTCCACAGTTCCCAGCCACTATAATCCTAGATTTATTCTTGTGGCTGCAGTCTTATTTTTGGATTTAACTCATAATTAAGTCTTATTTTTGTATTTAACTTGACTGTGTCAGGGCAGGCATGGTATTTCACTTCTTACTTGTCTGAAAGATGCAGGGCACAACTGCAATGCCATATAAAATGTTCTAGCAAAAATACTGAGAATAATCCCCAGGGAAACCAATGACCATGAACATAAATTTTTGGGTCTACATATACACTAAGAGAAGCTCATGCAAATATAACCATGTTAAAAATCCTGATAGGAAACAACTAGTGCAACTATGGTGCAATGAAAGCTAATACACCTAGAAGCCAATGTTACATTAAAAAGAATCCACAGCAACTTTCCCAAACTTGCAATTATATCTTTATTGGTAGGTCCCTTCAAAGACTCCCCAAAAGACATGTCACTATGCGGATACACTGCCAGGATCAGAGTCTGAAGTTTTACTTAATCTAAAAAGAGCTTTTTCTTTTTACTTCCATAGCATACCATATAAGTGTGTGTATATGTATATATAAGCACACACATATATAAAAATAACGAAGACATTTAAGTCTATTCAAAAGCACACACATATATAAAAATAACAAAGACATTTAAGTCTATTCATTCTGATTTAATCCGATGCAGTGTTTTATTTTTAACAATATACAGGAGTTCTTAACAGAGCTTTTTGCTGCTACATAAAAAGTAGCATGAACGTAGAATACGCACATGTCACTTAACTGAAGAGAACTGAAACTACACTTAGCTAAATAGTGGGTGGGGGAGAAATTATTTTTGTCCCACAGGATTCAGTAAGAGATGACGGAAACATGGACTTCCCCTGGAAAAATCAAATGCTTAGGCAGCTGTACTTTACTGTAAAAATATCAGGATACAAAACTTTCCGGGAGCTGTTTTGGGATCTGCACTTATACTCTACACCAAAGCTGTAGAAAGGTTCAACAGAAACATAAGTTATGCCCGCATGTGCTCAAACTAGCTTTAGCCACAGCTCATGAATGAGAAACCAGAGGCTGCTTCTTGAGGAACCAACTGCTTCTAAATAAAAGATTCTGAGCTAGAGGCAACAGGGCAAAGAACAGAAGAGAATCCAAAATTGTGCGCCCTTGCCAAATGATGACTGAGATTTAAAAAACCATGGTAGGAAATAAGGTGAATATAAAATGGTCATATACCATAGCACACAATATTAGAACTAGGGCTGCTTGATGAAGTTAACTCAAGAAATTGACTCAAAACATATTAAAGTAAACTGATGGAACTTGGTGTCAGAGGGGGTTACGGAAGCAGACAGCACCATCAGGTTCAAAAAGACAATAGGAAAGTTCATAGACAATGGGGACATAAGCAATGTACCTGCTAGCATGATCAATTTAACAAATATGGATGGCAGAGGAGTAAGAGAAGGAAACATTAAAAAGTGGCTGGGCTTTCATGCTCTTCCTAAACAGCATCACTTATTCCTACTGCCCAAGAGAGAACATTAGGTTGGATTCATCCCAGTCTGATCCAGCGGGGTATTTCTCATGTTCTTACGAGGTTACCACTAACACTTGTCACTTCAGAACACATTAATTTCTCCCCTTCTCCTATTTTTTATTCTTGAGCAGCTGACTGGAAGAAAATCTGCTCCCTCTGGCTAAAGTCCTATCTGGGCATGTGAATAGTAACAAACTTAGCACCCCCAGCAAGGACAGGCAGGACACAGAGCAAGGCCACACTCTGAGACATCAGCACTTAGAGCCAAGCTACTTGTCCTGCTGAGTGCAGCCACTGGTGGTCCATAAGACAACAGAGATGATTTGAAAAATGACTATAAAAAGAGAAATTAAAGACTTCAATATACACAGGTACACACCTGTGCAACTGCCAATACCTGCTATCACACACTGAAAGAAGCCAGCTCTCAACTGCTTTTAGTACCGGCAAGTAGGCATAATCAGCTTCCTCACAGTGCACATCAGCTCCAAGACAACAAAGTTGTAGCTCTGTACTCTACATACCCTTTTCCAAAACAGTTAAACAGTCCTTCAGAGAGCCTAGGAAACACTGTAGCAGAAAACTCTGAGGGGCAATCTTTGCTATACCATACCTGAGTACCAGTGTTATGTCATACAGAAGTCTGGTACCTGACATCATCTGTAGTCTACACAGAAGTTAATGGCTTAGTCACTACGAGAAAGCCCAAAGCATTATAGCCTCAAAACTCTAATCAGTCATTTTAAGCAAATGCTGCAATGAAAATATTAGAATATTTTAAATCATGTGGGTTGATACATTCTTAAACATATGCTCAGAACTTGACATTCAATGTACGTAAGACCCGTTTAGGCAATGGAATCCCCAAATGCATTGTAAATTGCAAGGCAATTATATGCTGGTGGTTAAAAGATGCATAATTAAGAGGACTGAGCTCAGAGCTTCACACACTGCGTCCAAACAAAAGGCACAACTACAGAGGTCTTAACTGTGTTGTTTTGTTTTTGCTAATATTAGCACAAATTTCATGTTAAATTTCTTAGTGTGTTCATGACATCTCATAGACAAGGTACAATCCTCTGCATAAGCTTCCAAAACCAGTAACCTGGGGCCAGAAGTGCAATGTGGATCTATAAGAACCTCAGCTTTTCCACAAACACAAATAGCATAAATAGTAGTTTTGTCAGTTCCTAAACTTGATTAAGAAAGGACAATTACTGGCATTGCCCCTGTCTGACCCTTTTGCTGAGACTAAGAAAATACACGGAGTGTAAGATGTTTGGCCACATGGAATCCACTCGGAGATGAACAGAGAACATAAAATTCATGATAAAAAGACATGCATTTAAAGTTTATAGCCAAACTTTTCCAATCAGTATTAATAAAAACTACATTTCTAAGAAGAAAACAGAAACATTAATTTTTTTCTGTTTCATAGCAACTAATACCTCTCTTTGAAGCGCTTTGTTCTGCACCACATCTAATTGTGATCAACATCAACACTACAAAGCTGTAACTTCTGTCCCTGTTCTGTGATCTAACCATAACTTTGGCTTAGTTGTAGTCTTTTAACAGCTCAGTTCTCAACGTCGCTCAATTACCAAACCAAGACTCCTGTAATTCTGGAAATAAGAGTCATTTTGTCAATAAAAGCATTCATATTGAGACAGAGAACACTGGGAAGCAACCAAAGCCAACTACAAGAGTTCACGTACAGAACACTTTTATTAACTACAGTACAATCCTTACTCAAGAAGATCTCTGAAGTGCAGGTATTGCAACATGCATGCAAGTAACCTGACAGATCAAGGCACTCAACATGTTAAGATCTTACTAGATATTTTTAGTTACCACCTGGAATTATATTTTGGACTACTTTGTTCATATGTTAAGATCTACCTAGGAAGATAGAAGCAACATTGCCCTCATTCTGCCTTTTTAGAAAGCTTATTATTTCAACTCTAGAAAAAAGCAGTTTATATTGCAGATATGCTAAGAGAAAAGCAGTAGAGTATTTCAGGCAACACTGGTAATACAGAATATGTTCCAGAATATAATGTAGTAAATACAGAATTAAAGTATTATTCATAATAGTAGAGAACTTAAGAGACTTGTACCTTGTTCGAAGCAACAGCAGAAAACATAACTAAGAGGTAGGAAAGTAACTTATTTTGTTACCAAACTGACCAGGTACTTCTTTTTGTTTTCCTACAACAAATGAACTTAAGCAGGGATTTTCATTTCAGCTGATTCACTCATGTGATAAATAGTATCTTATAGAAAACTTGACAAAGACATCCCAAAGCCTAAAACCAAATATTTAAGACTCCGGGAATTTTAGAAACTTCAAAGGATTTCTAGTAGGAAGATTGGTAACTATTGCCAAGAGCACATTCCTATAGGTTTCAAAAAATTTTCTAAACATTCGTATGCCTGATCTAAGGTTCAAGACAGGCTTCATATCTTGAAAGTCTTTTGAACAAGGACTTCTCTATTTGAGCAGAAGGTCTCAGGCCCCACTCCTGCAATCACATCCTCACAGACAGATGCTCATGCTTTTATAGAAGCACACTTTTTTCAACATAGTTTTAAACAGGCCCAGGTTAGTGTTAGGGTGAGTAGGCAGAGAGGTAGCCTTCAGATACAGCAAGAAATGGAATATTTAGGCCATTGCAACATGGGAGAAATGCACTTTAAAAATGTTATCTCAAAATATCTAAACCATGATTCTGAAAGAAAGCAGAGATTAAACATACTGCAACATCTCTTGCATCTGTACTTGAACAAAAAAAAAGTCTAAGTCTTTTATGCATTCAAATAACAGATAACCTGCCCTTGCATATGAGGTTACACAAAATACCTTAGTCTTATTTTTAGTCCCAATACTATGAAGGCAAACAAGCTTATTTTCACACAAAACAGAAACATTATTTTTGCTCCAGAAGGAATACTCAATAAATAAAGCAGTAGAGTTCCTCACAGAGCAGTCTTTCAGCAGTTATAAGCTATTGGAGTTTCAGTGTGGTATTACAATAAATTTGTACCTCCTGATGATTTACCATATTGTGAGAACAAGGTATATGCAGTTCTGTAGGACCAGGCCCTACGTACAAATTCATTTCACTCATCACAAAAATACTGAACATCAAAATAACTCTCAGTAAGTAAATTTTGGGTGGTGTTCTGTAGATAATTTAGCTTTACAATTAATAAAACTTTTCTGATCTTCATATATATTACAAACAATTCATGTAAAAGGCTGAACATCACCAGCTTGTAAGTGACAGCTTCATATGAAACACAAGTGCTCCAGTTCAGCAATCAGCAGTGGTGGGGATGGTCTTAGCACGAAACACTGCCAGTATAGTTGTGTCAGTAGGAGAGGGCACTCACCTACAGGGAAACCATGCACTGCCCTAATTTTGCCAATTTTATTTTTAAGTCTCCCAGTCCTCAAAAACTAAAAAGAGCCTTAAAATAAACCTTCATCATATGTTGTCGAGTAACGAAGTTAGAACTAACTATAGATCTATGTATTTTTTTTAATCAGATGGTATAAGGCTTTAAGGTGTTACTGTCATTTCCAAAACACATTTGAGGTTACTTGTACATTGCTATTAGCATTCTGACCTAAAAGACATATTAAGGAACATTTGACAGAAACGCACCACCTCTCGCATTAGAAACCGGAGCTGTTTCACCTGTGCGGGGTGAAGCGTGTTGGCGGGTCTTCCAGTGCACTCACTTCACAACTACCAGACGTTCTTTTCCCTGAAAAAAAGGATCCTTTCATTTTCAGTCCTGGGGGGCAGCAGCACCTCGCAGAGAAACCCCCCACACCAGCCCAGCGGGTCCCCGGCGCACCGGGACAGCCAGGGTGCCCCAGTGGGGACATGAGAGGGGCCGGGGCCCAGGTCCAGACACAGCCCTGGTTGTGCAGGGGCTGCTGAGGAGATCCCCTCCCCTGGCTGACGGGCCAGTGGGCTGCTGCCCGTGTCCCGATAACGCCAGCGGGTCCCGGGACAGTGCGGGTGCCTGAGGGACCACTACCCGGCCCCGGCGGGGCTCGGGCGGCCGCCGACCCCGCACGTGTCGGGGCGCGAAGATGCAGCCGGGACACCCCCCGCTCCTGCCCCTCGCCCCCGGCCCCGGGGGCCGGCCCGGAGCCACACGTGCCGGCAGCTTGAGGGTTGGGGGGGCACTGCGAGGGCATCTCCGCACCCCCACAACCACCCCCCGCTCCCTCCCAAAAAGTTGTGCAGCGAATCCGCCCACCGCGGGCCCGGCCGGAGGGGGTCACCGGGTGGGGGGACAGGGGGGCACGGGACGGGCGGGGGGGGGCCGCGGCCACATCCCGGGGTGCCCCCGCCCTGCCGGCACCGGCCCCGCAGCCGCAGGCGGGGGGTGGGCGGCGGCGGCGGCGGGGGATGGGGGGGAGCGAGGCACCCCAAAAACGCCGCGAAACTTTCCAGGCCGCGGCCGGCGCAGCCCCGCGGGACCGGCACCGCCTCCGCCACCGCGGCCCCGCATCGGGCTGGGGGAGGGTGCGCGCCCCCCCGCCGCTCATTAAAAGTCATTTCAGCAAATTAATGCCGCCCCCAGCCCCCCGTCCCGTAGTCCCCTCGCCCCGCGCGGGGGGCTGAGGTGGGGGGGGGGGGGAGCGGCCCCGGCCGCGGCGCCCCCGCCGCCTCCCCCCGGCCGTCGGCAACGGCGGGGCTCGGCCTGCTTTGGGCCCGGGGCCCGGCGCGGGGGGCCCGGCGGGGCGGGGAGCGGAGCGGCCGGGCCGCGCGGCGCCGAGGCCTAGCGCCCTCCCGCCCCCGTTCTCCCCCACCGCCCTTCACCTCCCGGGCAAAGGCGCCGCACCCCGACCCTCCCGCTGGGCCCCGGCGGCCGTCTCACCCCCCTCCGGCGCTCCTCCCGGCGCCCGAAACACTCAAAAACCCCCCTGGCTCCCCGCACCCCCCGCCGCGGCCTACGCCGCCCCGGCCGATCCCCGGCCTCGCGTAGCCCGCCTCCCCGCCCGCCCTGCACCCTCCGCACCGCCTGCCGCGCTACGCGAGCCCGGGGATGCAGGCCGGGCCTGGCTTACCTTTCCAGCTGCTTTTTTTTCCCTCCTCTCTCTCCTCTCCCCCCTTTCCCTCTGTTGGGCTGACAGATCAGAGTTTCCTCCCCAGCAGAGGGACTGGGAATGTGCTCGGGCTCTGTGCTGAGGAGCTGCTGCCCCCCTGTCTCTGAGAAGATCCTGCTTTTTGTGGGGAGAAAGCTTTGGGGGCTCTTTATTATTTTAAAACTACAAAGTGCTCAGAGGGTAGGTGATTATTAAGGGGAATCCCTGAATATATTCTCCAGCAAAGAAGGCAGGGCTGCTGGGGCTGCTCAAGAAGAGAGCCAGCAGCCTCCTACAGCACCACTACAGGCACCGAGAGGACATAACATCAGAGAGCGGCTCCTCTGCCCTCCAAAACAACAACTTTCCTACCATCTTGGAGGTAGTAGAGAGGGAGAGAGGGAGGGGGAAAAAAGTACAGAAGGTTTTTATAAAGTGTCAATTTGGAGGAGGGAGCCAAATGGCCAAAACAAAGTATTTTATCATTTACGTGACTTTTTATTTTAAATAAAAATAAAATACAAAGGCTTGTGGCTGAAGAAATAATTTTCTTTATAACCTGTTAAGATCAACTCTCTGGGAAAAAAAAATAAGGTATGGTAAAATATATATATTTTTAGTAACTTTTTGATTCTTTAAAAAATGTTGTTTTTTTTCTGTATGTATAAAGTTGATAACTTTTTTGTCATTGTGTGGTAATGTTAAAAATTGATGTGTAATTGTGAAAGTTCATGTAACTTTTTTTGTTACTCATACTGTCAGTAGAACAGCTGGGATTGATGTGGAATAGTTTGGTGTAATTGTACCATTGCGTCTTTCTCTCTTTCAAGCCATTGTAAATAAAGCTGAATGTACAGGTAGGAAAGAAGTACTATTTTTTTTATTTTTACTTTTTGAATTTTTCTAGAGTAGGCTGTGTAGAGAACCTATGGAGGATTTAATGCAAGTGAGGGAAACCTGTGATATATATATCTGAGAAATTGTGCTGTCATAAATTTAGCATTGTCTGCCCTTCAGGATGGGATGTGCAAAAACAGAACTCATAGCAAGAAATTTAGGGGCAATAGCTGAGTTTTGTTTTTAATGTTTTCAAAGCACTTTGCAGCCTTCTAAAAATGCGGTTTGGTTCTTTTTAAGTTATTGTTTTGATCTGGGGGCTTTGTTCCTGATATTTATGAATATTATTCTGGACTTATTTACAGAGTTGAGAAATGCTGTAAGTTTATATTACAGTGTCTTGTAATATAAGTTAATAGTGGGGTGGTGTTTTGTTGCAGATGCTTTTATTAGATTGTAAAAGATATATTAAATGCTGTCAAAACAATGTGAGATGCTACGGTGTATCTAGAGGTGAAGATACTGATCTCTGTATTCAGCAGACCTATGATAATGCTTCTTGCAGTAGTATTATGCACAGAGATGAACTGCAAAGATGCCATTTTATTTGTCCCGAAGGAAGGGGAAATAATTAGGAAACTAATGAGCTATACAATAATTTATGTTTTTTCCCTTGGAAGAATTATTCAGGTGGTATAGGCTAGTTGAACTGCAGTCAGACTAAGGTCATGTGAATGAAGGTACTGAATTACTTAGCATGTTATCAACTTCTACCCTGTCAAGTCTGAAATATGTTGGTTTAGTTCCGTTCCTTTAATCTTAAAAAAAAAAATTCCTGTATTTAGATACATCCACGTTTCAAAACATACCTTGAGTTTGCCCAGCCCATTATGGTAAGTATAGTTTGTGTTGATGGTGGGTTTTTCACTTAGATGTACAAATTTGAATTAAAGTATAATTAAAGGTCAGCTGGTCTGTGTGTCAAACTTTATTTTTTGATCGGCAGGAAATTTTCAAATTACGATTAGTCTACCTTGCACATGTTAATAATCCAGAGTGTTGCGTTCTATTGAGTTATTGCATAGGAGGTATCAGATTATTAATCTGTTAATTCTGCATTATTCTGCTCTGACATTAGAAAACCAAGAAAAGAAAAATCAATTATGTTGCTGCTTTATTTTATTTCAAAAGATTTTGTATAGGAGTAATGCAATAATTAGGGTACTTCATAATTTTACCAGTCGTCGTCATGTGCTTTGGAGCATGAAGTATGATGATTCTTTTTGTAAGCTATTTCAACTGAAACTACTTTTAAATTCTATACTTAAAGTTCATTATGGGAATGGCAGGGATTAAAAATGTTGGACAGGTATTGGATTGTTAAGGAACTCCAAACATTTTGAAATATTACAAATAAATTATCTCAATAAATTAAGGAATTCAACAAATGCAACATAATCTAATTTCCTTTTATTCTAAATAAAGGGCCAAATTCTCAGACCCCATGTTTTGCAAGTGCTTGCAGGCCTGATTAATAATTCAGAAGTGCCTGAAGGATCCCTCTATACTTCATTGCATAAGACTCTTACCAAGTCAGTAGGATTTGCTAGAATACAAAATTCAGATTTGTGCACAAAGTAATTTCTTGCATCTACCATTGTGTTAAACAAGAGAATTGCTACTTTTAACTGTAATTCAGTTTAATTCAACTATAATTCAAGTTCTCTTCATTGGACTATTATGATATTTTTTATGTTTTAGGAAAAGAGCCACACTGTGAACAAGTAGTCTATGCTGCATCTCTCCGTGGTACTCTTGGGAATATCTGTACAACACACTTAGTATCTTAGGACTGTATTTTTTTAATGGGCTGCAGATGATACAATATTTTAGAGAAGTGGCTATGAATGCACTTGAGAACCTGAACACAGAAACAATATTGAACCTTTTTTTTGGCTCATGTGCTTGACTTCTCAGATACTGGCTTTAATCGGATTACTTGCATGCCTAAATTTAAACATGCATTATAGTAGCATTACACATTTTGGTGACATCCTGAGATCTGTTTGATGTGTGTTAATTGTGAAGCGAGAAGCTTAATGCTAAGCAAAAGGAGAAATGTTTTGAATCTAGTTTGGAATAGGAAAACTTGAAATGGGATATTTTTTAGTATCTTGTACTGAAAAAAAAGAAGACAAAGTAAAGAGGAAACATTCAGTAGATCTTAGTTACATATACCATGTGTAATCATTCAATAGAGAAACAAAAAATTATACTCAATGGAGGAATTCATTTAACAAAATTTTTCTTTATTTATCTGAGAGTAATTTGCTTTTCATTAACTTACTAGAAATGCAAATACTGTTTTATTTGTTTTGCTGTAATAAAATGTTACACAAGAATAATCTAAAGAAGCAGAGTCTGCTAGCTCTAGTAATGCAGAATTAAAAGATTTAGAAGAAGATTTACTTATCTTTATGGTCAAGACTCTTAAGTTGGGAGATGCAGTATTCTGATTGAGTAGAGCAGTGCTCTGAAATTACACTGGAGAACAAATAGGACTGTGAGACTCCTGTACAAGGACAGTGTGTGAACCCAAAGCAAGAAGCATTCTCTGTACATCATGTGGAATTGTATTCTGGAAATTCCATTACTTCATAACAGAATAGGTCTGTCTGCCTTAACTTTAAAGCAGCCACATCCCTGGATCAACCACTCCAACCCGGAAACTTATTGTACGCTTGAGCACAGAGTGGTCGGAGAACATGAATGTTGTGTAAATCACTGGTTCCTGGCTAATGAGGCATACTGTGCTGATGTGTCTCACTTGTACTAATAGTGAGAGAGAGGGCAGGGACGGAGTGAATAAGCTTTGTGAGTCTAATAAAAGCAATGAAATAGATGCTCTAGGTTCTGTACCAGTTACTGGAACCTTGACACTCTGACAAGGTCATACTAACCCCAAATGCAGACCTCAAGAATTTCTGGAGCATGACTTAAACTCTGTGCATGTGGTGAAGAGTCTGGGGTTTTCCACAAATAGTGTTATAATGTCAGCATCTTGGTATTATTCCTTGAAAGACACATACAGTCTGAGGAAACAGTTCCAATGTCTTCAAATGCCTGAGATCAGCAATTTTTTTAAAATGCAGGTGAATGTTGGGAAGGGGAGGAACAACTCATACGTGTATAGAGGTTAATTAGAGACTTTCATGTATAGAGAGCCACATTTGTATAGAGATCTTGTCTTTAGGCATTTAAAGACTGAAAAGGGTGACAAATTAAATAAAAAACGAAGTTATGATCTAATACATTCTTCTAAGCAATGTCTTGAGCAGCTGTTATGTGGTATTGGTTTATTTAGTAGTGGCAAGTTCTGGGGTCAAGGTAACCATTAAAGCCCAGCATACTGATAGTATTGAAAAATGCTTATTCTTATTTTTCAGCAATTCTTTAACATGGAAATGGTATAGGAGTGGTTGTCTCTAGCATATCTGGATTTCAGTTACTCTGTCTGCTGCAGTTGTATGTATTTGATAAACCAGCATGCTTTTTGCCACTTTTCCAAACATCAGAGTTCTTACGTTAAAAACAATGTCTACAGTCTGAGGATTTTTCTCTAGGAAATACACCCAAGATATGGCATAAATATGGCTTCCTAATTCATCTGCTAAACTCCTGCAAACTCATGTTTTAGTGCACTTCTGCATGGCAGGTAGCACAGCTGAAAGTGTAGGATAAACCATATGCACAACAGAGTAACTTTGCTTTACTTCATTTAAAGTCATGGATGCTAGCAAAGCAACACAAAGTACAGATGACTGGCCTTGTTTTCCTGAGTCTTAAAGGCTTCACTAAAGATTTTTTTGAGCAATAGGAATTTCACTGTGGATTTCAGTAGGAGTATAGTTGCAGAAGTATTTAACCAATTGGGAGCAAGACATATGCTAGCTATTACATGATAATATAATTAATTGATAGTGAACTGCACTGAAAATAGTAATTAAATAAGACTTCACTAATCTGTTCTTCATTATCAATATGTATTTTAATCTGCATTAAATAAATGGTATTGTCTTCCTAAATATCAGCAAAGGCAAAATAGTAAGACTGTTAATTGTGGGAGGGTTGTCCAGAGTACATTGGGCATCTGTGGAGACTTCTATAAATAGATAGATGAATGGAATAAACTGTCCCAACAGGATGCTCTAATACCATCCCATTTTACTGGGAAGCCCACTGTTAATTCAAAGTATATAATTGTATTTTTACTATCTGCTTCTGTCTATTGATATTTCATTAACTGTAATTGCAGTGGTTAAGAAGCTACACACTTTATCACCAGTCCTTTTTTCTACTATTAGTCCAGTTGTTCATTTACATTCAGTATACAGTGGGTTTTGGTCACCACTGCAAATTGGAAAGATGAGAATTTCTACTCTGGACCAAATCAGCAGTCTCTTAGTCTTCTGAGAGTAGCTTCCCCCAAAGGTGTGGAATATCCTGTGATGGATAATTGAGAAAATAGTTGGAGGTGAGCTAACATCAAAGCATAAGGCTTAATTAATGTCTAGGGTCA